ATCAATTTTTACACATCCTTAAGCAATCATTCAAGCAAACCTTAGAACTTTTTCAAGAAAGATTCGCAACAATTTTTTGAAGTTATTTTGAAAATCTTTCTTGAGGCAACTTGCATTCTTTTGAAGAAGAAACTCTCTGCAGATTTGGATAAACTGGTTTGAGCTTTCTAGTTTCTTCTTTGTAAATTCTTTTTCATTCTTTTGTATTGTGTTGTGCCTGGAATTTGGGCACAAGTTTCTCTGCAGCTGGAAGTAGGTTGTGGAGGTTATCAAGAACTGGAATTTGGTTCTTGGTGAAAGGTTTGGTGCCTAGAATTTGGGCACTGGTTTCTCTGCAACTGGAATTTGGTTGTAGAGGTTATCAAGAACTGGAATTTGGTTCTTGGTGAAAGGTTTGGTGCATGGAATTTGGGCACTGGTTTCTCTGCAACTGGAATTTGGCTGTAGAGGTTATCAAGAACTGGAATTTGGTTCTTGGTGAAAGGTTTGGTGCCTGGAATTTGGGCACTGGTTTCTCTGCAACTGGAATTTGGTTGTAGAGGTTATCAAGAGCTGGAATTTGGTTCTTGGTGGAGAGGTTAAGTGCAGGAACTGGAATTTGGTTCTTGTGTTAGATTAGGTGTAAGATTGTTGAATCTGTAAAACATTTAATCTAGTGGAACCCAGCTGGAATTTGGCTGGAGACTGGACGTAGCCCTGGTATTGGGTGAACCAGTATAAATTACCGGTGAAATCTTTCTTAACCTTTCTCTCTTTAAATTCAGTTGATGCGCTTATTTTGATTGATTGCTTTGTGATGCAAGAATAGATTAGTAAACTTAATTTTCGAATTAGATAATCTGTTATTCGCGAAAAACTTTCAAAGATCAATTCACCCTCCCTCTTGATCTAAAACTACTTTTCTAACATACAACACACAAGCCAACACATACACCAAGCCATGGAGAGCATCAAACCAAGACTAACCGAGTCATAGGAGCACACCAAGGACGTCAAATGACCAAGCTCTCCTCTTTGACATCTTAGATGCACCTCAAAGAAGCTTTGGAGTACATAAACACTTGAGGAATCCTTCTCTTGTTCAATGTGGAACTTAGAGGAAGAAGATAACATAAAAGAGAAGCTATCACGGTCTAAGAAAGTGCAGTCAAAAGTCACTCGGCCAAGCCACCATGGTGACTGTACCAAGCTCACGGTCAAGAACCATTCACACGGTCAAGAATGCACCAGCACAAGTGCTTGTAACCCATTGTGTTCAATATGGTATATAAACTCTTAGGGAAGCATAGAAGAAAAGAATGTGGGAATTTTAGAGCCCATTTTCGGTGTCTCACATAAGAGTAGAATAAGGCCCACATCTTTAAATTCTTGAAGTAAATGAGAGGGGAAACAATATAATATAACCCCTTATGTAGCTTCTTTGGCACATTTGAATGAAAACCAAACTTAATAAGTCCCACATCTTTAAATTCTTGAAGTAAATGAGAGGGGAAACAATATAATATAACCCCTTATGTAGCTTCTTTGGCACATTTGAATGAAAACCAAACTTAGTGTGTGGAACTTGCAATTTTTCTTGTACCCCGTTTTTGGTTTGACTTCAAGTGTCCTTTGGAGATTTTCTTCTCCTTGTCTCCTAAACAAGGAACCTTCCTTGGAGAAGCTAGTGCCAAGTCTTCTTTTGAGACTTGGGGAACAATTTTTGGTCACTTGAGAGCTTGAGGTGTGGACTTGGGCGTCTCTTTGGTGGAAAGAGGAGATTATTTCCATTAATAATGATTATAATAAGAATCATTGTCATATATCATATATTATGATGATACAATATCTAAATTTAAAGGACATTTAACAACGATTATATTTATAATTGTCGTCAATCTTATAACTTTTATTGATGGTTGTAAAACCATCATTATATGTCTTTTTTAACTATTGTTTGATAAAATTTTATTCCATATTTTTTAAGTAAATATATTCTAAAATTTTCTTATGGTGTCAAGAACTCCTTTCTTTAGGAGTTTTTGCTACATAGTTCCAATGACATGAAACTAATAATAATGCATGATTAAAGAGAAATATGGTTAATATCTTGATCCTTTTTAAGATCCAACGAGTCATTTTCACATTCATGCAGGTGAAGGTTGTTGAAAATTCAAATATAGGTTGAAATCTCACATTGGGTAGATATGAGAAAATTAAGTAACTTATAAGTGAGAAAGACCCACATATTTAATGTTTTAAGATTGAAACTAATGTCATATTCTCTTATTTGGTTGACTCATGTTTATCTCTCGATTGTTAGTCTCCATCAAAATACCCATCAAAGGTCTTACTAACTTACACCTCAACTCATGACCAAGAGCTATCATTCTTAGGCCAAAATGATTGGATTTGTTGCTCAGGGGGAGTCTGGTAAGGTTTGTAAATTATGTCGTTCTCTTTATAGCCTCAAGCAATCACCACGTGTTTGGTTTGGTAAATTCAACTCAATTTTTCAAACATTTGGGCTAAAATGCAGGGAAGCAGATCATTTTGTTTTTATTTTTATTGTAATACATTTCTTGGGAAATGCATTTACCTAATAGTCTATGTTGATGATATAGTTATTACAAGAAATGATGTTGTTGGAATATCTCAACTAAAGGAGTACTTGTGTAAACATTTTCAAACCGAAGATCTTGGGAGCCTCATATATTTTTTGGGCATCAAGGTAACACAGTCAAAAAATGGGGTTGTAATCTCTCAAAGGAAGTACGTTCTTGATATCCTACAAGAGACAGGTATGCTTGACTATAGGCCAGTAAATAGTCCTATGGACCAAAATAAAAAATTAAAGACAGAAGAAGGTGAATCATTTCCTGACCCAGAAATATATAGGAGGCTAGTTGGAAAACTAATTTATCTTACTATTACAAGGCTTGATCTATCTTTTGTAGTGGAGTTATTAGTCAATTCATGCAGGCTCCATGTATTGGCCATTAGAATACCTTCATTCGTATTTTAAGATACCTCAAAAAGGCTCCAAGACAAGGTATGCTATATGAAGATAAAGGAAGTATTCAAGTCTCGAGGTACTGTGATACTGATTGGGAAGACTTCCCTATTGACAGACGTTCTACTATGAGATATTGTGTTTTCCTTGAAGGAAATATTATCTCTTGGAAAAGTAAGAGGCAAAATGTAATGGTTCGATCAACTACTGAAGTTGAATATATGACAATGACGTCTCTTACTTGTAAACTTATATCGGTAAAACAATTCCTTCAAGAGCCTAATCTATGTGAAATCCAAATCATGAAGATCTAGTGTGATAACCAGACTGCTCTCCACATTACGTCAAATTTGGTATTTCACAAGAGGACTAAACACAGAAATTGACTACCATTTTATTTAGGAAAAATTGTTTTGTTTAAGAAAATTTATACTGAGTTTGTTGGGTCAAATGACCAACTTGCAAATATGTTGACCAAATCCTTAAGGGGACCGTGGATTGAGTTCATTTGCTACATGCTTGGTACATACAATTTGTATGCTTCAGCTTGAAGGGAATTATTAGAATAATTGTTAAGTCTATGTATGTTAGAGTAATTATAGTGTTATACTTACATTTGTGCTTTAGAGTTTGGGCCAATCTTTTGATCTTTTGTCTTTCCATTATATCAACTTTTTATCATTATAAATAAAATATCATAAGAGAAGTTTTTCAAGACCTCCAAAATATATTTTCTCCTTAAAACTTAAGTCACAAGAATAAATAATTAATCACTATTAGAATAATCGTTAACAATGACCGAAATTAGTGATAAAAAACTAAATAATTGAATTAGTTATTATTTTTTTATATATATTTAGTGACTAGTTTAGTGACTAAAATTTCAGTCATAAAACAAATAATCACTAAACACTGATTATTTTTTATTTATATAAATAATTTTTCATAATATTTCTAATAACATATTAAATATTTTTAAAAAATAATTTAATAACTTATTAAATATATTAAATAATTTATAATATAATTATTTGATTATATTTTTTAATTTAGTATATAAATAAAAAAAGTTAAAATTACTTATTAAATTAGTCATCACACTAAATCAATTATTAATTTAATTATATATATATATATATATATATATATATATATATATATATATATATATATATATATATATGAATCACTTTAATTATTTTAATTAAAAATAATTTCATAAAAAATATTTTTATTTTATTTTTAATCGACTTATTTAATTGGTTAACTTAAATATACGATTATATTTAATAATTTGTTAAAAAAATTATTTTAACAAATAAATTTATTAAATTTCTATTTACTAAAATATTGGCAATACTTATTGTTTTTTAAAAAATTACAAATTTCTTTTATTCCTTTACGAAACATAAATTTTATTTAAATAACAAGTTATTTTAACAAATAATTTATTTTAACTCCTCACTACTAAAATATTACTATAACTAATTAAATAATAATTAATAGTAATTTTTAAAATAAAAATTTATTCTAACAAATTTTGATTCAATTATTTGATTATTATAAAATATTAGTTATACTATTATCTTTTAAATATTAGTTATATATTAAAAACTTTATATTTAATATATTAAAATAAATATTTTAATTTAAATATTTAAATATTTAAATAATTTAATTATATTTTTTACATAATTAATGTTTTAATAAAATATTTAAATAAAATATGTTAATTATTATTTGCTTAAATAAATCATTAACACTATTTATATATAAATGTAATAATTACCTTTAAATTTTTCAATTTAAATATTAATAACATTCTTGAATTACAGGATTTCATTTTTATTATTAATAAAAATATTTTTTAAATAATAAACTATGTAATAGATAATAGTTGTTTGGAATTAAGAAAAAAATAAGTTTAATAAACTTATTTATGATAAAATTGTAAATAAATTTTTAAAATAATAATAATAATATAACTCTCTTCCATAGCCCCTCATTCCTATCTCCACCCAACTGAGCCGCGATCAACTCTCTCATCCTCTGCACCGACCACCACTAACCGCGACTCACACCCACTTCTTCACCCTCCACTGTAGCTAATCGAAGTCATTTTCACCTTTTTTTCGGCAACCACCGCATCGCGGACCGTGAGCCCGAATCCTGCTCAGCTTTCTCCCTCGGCCAATCTCCCCCCCCCCCCCAATTTTCGTGAGCCACAGCGCACGCCCCCAATTGCCCTCACCGGAGCCACCTAGACCACACGCTCGAGCTCGCGCCACCAATCTCAGGTCTTAGCCACTTCTATCGTGACCCACCACACTGCGCAACCTTTGAACCACCGCACCGGGCGTGACCCCGCTTGCCACAAGGGTTTGCCTACATTTTCCTTTTTCCTAGTTTCCTTCATTTCTGCTTTGATTCGCGTCTTTGCATCCTATCTAATTTTTTTGTTATTTCATTTGGCTTTTGTTGCTTGGATATGGAAACCTATTATTGCATCTTGTTTGCTGGCTAGACTGTTTTGAATTGAGATGTTGGTTTGGACTGGTTCAGATTAAGGACATTTGGCTCAGGTTTGGTTATGTCAGTGTGTTGTTAGAGTTTTGTTTGGCTCCAATAGGGTTGATAGGTTTGGTTCTAGACTTGGTTTGGTTTGATCTTGGTTCGAGTTGAATCCTGATTGCTCTGGTTTTACGTTGCTATTGTTTGGGGTCTGGATTGGGTTTTGTAGGTCTCAAGTTTGGGGCTATTTGGGTTGGATTTAAGCGTGTTGGTTCCAGTTCGGTTTTGTTTGATTCTTGATTGGCTTAATGTGTATCTGCTGGTTAAGTCGCCTTTGATTGGTTCTGATGGGGCTATTTGGCTTTGATTAGGGGCTGCTTAGCTTAGCTGCTTTTAAAGTATTCAGTAATTTTTCAATTGTTATATAAACTTAGGGTCTTGAGTTCTATGTATATCATACTTCAAGCCCAATATCTCGTCCTAGTCCAAAAATTCCTGCGGAATTATGTTTCTATTAACACAATAAAATAACTGTTAAGAAGTTGTCATACTTTTATATTTTTTTTTGTAATATTATAAAAGATAAAATTAGCCAGTTTTTATAATTTGATTAAGATATGCATTTATAATTTACTAAGTTATGCCTTATTTTGTTGTGCATTGTGCTAACTAATTTTATTATTATTATTTTTGGTATGCAGGAATATTGAAAATATAATACTTACCAGAACAATTCAAGAAAAAGATTTCTTATAAAAAAAAGACAAAGACGAAGAGTATAGAGAAAATTAATTGACTTTGTTATTAATTTTATAGATGTTTTATGTATGTAAAACATTATTATGTGAGAAATTCTTAAATTTTGATTTATATGTATAAACTGGTTTTATTTTAATTTTATATATAATGTAATGTATTGTTTATTTTCTTTTTGTTAGAAAAGTAGTTTTAAATCAAGAGGGGGTGAATTGATTTTTGAAAGTTTTTCGCAATAAACAGATTATCTAATTCAAAAATTAAGTTTACTAATCAATTCACGAATCACAAAGCAATTAAACAATACAAGCGCAGCGAATCGAATTTAAAGAGAGAAAGGTTAGGAAAGATTTCACCGTAATTTTATACTTGGTTCACCCAATACCAGGGCTACGTCCAGTCTCCAGCTAAATTCCAACTTGGGTTCCACTAGAATAGATGTTTTACAGACTCAACAATCTTACACCTACTCTAACACCGGAACCAATTTCCAGCTTCCGACTTTAATCTTTCCACCAAGAACCAAATTCCAGCTTGGAAACCTCTGCAACCAAATTCCAACATGCAGAGAACCCAAGTGCCCAAATTCCAGGCACCACACACAAGAACCAAATTACGACTCTTGCTTTAACCTTTCCACCAAGAACCAAATTCCAGTTCTTGGCAACTTTCTACAACAACTGTAGAAAACTTGTACCCAAATTCCAGGTACAAAATAGTACAAATGAATGAATAGAAATTTAAAAGAAGAAACAAAGAAAGCTCAAACCGGATTACACCAATCCACAGTAAGTTTCTTCTTCAAGGATGCAAAGTGCCTCAAGAAAGATTTCAAAAGAAGTTCACAAAAACAAGTTGTGTATCTTTCTTGAAAAATGCTAATAGTTGTTTGTATTGATTGCTTGAATTGTGTAAAAACTGATATTCTAAAAGTTCAAAACAATTTCGTTTATAAAAGAGTATTTTCAAATCGTCGTATTAATTAATCTGTTGAAAGTTTGTTTGAATCTGTTGAAATAGCCGTTACAATTTGTTACAAGTCCTTTCAACCCATTAATGCATTCTTGATCTTTAACAGAAAATGTTTTAGTTGATACGACCACGTTTTTATCAGTTAAAACGTTTTACAAACATTTTCTAAGTATAAAACAATCGATTGAATCGCGTATTAGTCGATTGATTTGTTTAAAAACCTTCTTATAAAACTTTCCAAGTTATTTTAGCCGATATAAAGTCGTTTTAATCGATTGAAAATCTGCACATATATTTTCAAGTCATTTTAATCGATTGAAAGTTCGTTTTAATCGATTGAAAAGATTTTCTAAGTTATTTTAATCGATTGAAATATGTTTTAATCGATTGAAATAAGTCTGATCGGTCATAATTCAATTCTGATCGATCATAACCAACTCTGATCGGTCATAATCTCATTCTGATCGATCATCCTGACATCCAAAGTGATTTTAATCGATTGAAACGTGTTTTAATCGATTAAAATAATTCGATCGCTCATATTTAAGATCTGATCGATTATATTGCATTCTGACCTATTATATTCGAATTCTAATCGGTCATAAAGAGTTTTAATCGATTAAAAGAAGTTTGTATCGATTAAAATATTGTAAAAACACTTTTTAAAACATTCTAAGTGTTTTAAATTGATTCTTTCAAACTCAGTATCAGCTTAATAACTTGTTTAAGAAAATTCTTTGCCAAAATGTTTTTGTTTTTTATTTGTTAAAAACTGTTTTTGAGGCATTTTGCAAGATGAGTGAAGAAGCTTTATGCGATGGAAAAGGTAAAGTGGTTTTACCTAAGCTTTCGTTAAGACACACTAAGTCTTCAACTCCTTTGTTCTGAGTGACTTGTTTGACAAATTGCAGAGTTGACCCTTGACTTTATCTTTGACTTCATCAAATCAATGAGATCTTTGCTAGGATCACTTTCAGTCTCCCCTATTTGATGAAGACAAACACCATTTTGAAAAAACAATCTCTGCAAAATAAGTCACTTGATAATGCAGTTAGGTGAGAAATATAAGAATGTAATAAAGTTTTGTTTCTCCCCCTAAAACTTATTTCTCCCCCTAAAATGTTGCTCTTAAATTTATCTTAAAGTGATGCAACTATTTCTCCCCCTTTTGACTTCATCAAAAATAGGGTATAGAAGGGAAATAAAAAATGTAAGATTTGAAATGTGCTCAAGTTTTTGAAAATAAAAAGTGAATCAATATTGCACTCATGAAAAGAATCAATTAAAGTTGATTCAAACTTATCTCCATTAACACGTTTGTAATGAATACAATTAACACGTGTAAAGATAAGGGAATCACGCTTTAGTAGCATGTTTACAGAAACAGCCATTAACTAAAGCCTTTAATCTTTCTTCCCAGAATAAAAATCGATTAAAAACAGAGCATAATCAGTTAAAATGTTCTTGGTAAATGATTTTAATCGATTGAAAGAAAAGTTTGATCGATTAAAACATTTAAGATTTTGAAAACATGAAACTTTAGTAAAAATAATCGATTATTTCGATTTTGAATCGATTAAAACAAGTAATGAAATTTGCTTGTTTAAGTTTATTTAACCGATTAAAAAGTGTTTTTATTAACTAAAACAACCAGATTTTGAAAATCATGATATATCTGATGTGAATATCTCAGTATCTAATCTATTGGATATGTAGTGAACTGATTGTCTAGATCAATATCAACTATTTTTTCACCGATAATCTACCACTATCGATTTAATTTTAAGTTTGGCTAATTTTACTTGTTATAAGACAGTTTTAAAAGGTTTTAATCGATCAATGCCCAGTTTTAAAAGAGATTCAGGGATCTATCATCTACTTCTATCTAAGCCAGTTCAATCTAGATTTAGATCCTAAATCATATTTAACCAAAGCTAGATCAAGAGTCCCTGGTATAATACTAGTTAATATTACAGTCCATGCAAAAATTATAAAGATAGAAATAAGCAAAAGATAAAGATGATGAGGGGAACTAGTCATCCCAATTTCCCTGATTGAACTGCTTATCCACCAGCTTGGTGATCATTCATTTGATTCCCACCAATATCAAAAGATAATAGGCTTTCCTTTTTGCTGGAACCAATTTTGCTCTATCAACTATTTGAGTCAACAACTCGCTGTCACTCTCGTATCGACAATGCATACGTGAAACTTTTCCCGAAAAGAAATCTTTTAGCAGTTCTATCGTTACTATTGATCGCATTACAGTCCATGATTGACACTCAATGGAATTAAATGTTTCTTTAGGAACATCAACTATTACACATCTGAGGCATAATCATGTACTGACCAAATCCCACACAGAATGCATGATATCATAAATTGCATGAATCACATGTTAATGATGTACTGAGATAGGAATTTTCTTTCATAATAGCCAACCCATTTTGAACCCTGCAGTTGTCATCATCCAAGCAAATAACTGCATTCTTATTAATGTAGTATGATGGGTGTTATTCTCACTTATAGTGAACCGAGTCATCATTATCTTTTGAGGAATGAATCATTTTTAACTTTGTTGTTTCCGAGTGGTATCATATGCACAAGTGATTAACAAAAAACTTATTACGGTAGAGTGGGCAATGATTAGTAATGAGGACAGGTGATGACAATCAATCCAGAATTCTAAAACAATATAAAATTTATCCCTGTCTTGACCATAAAACATACATTCCCTGTACCACGTTATTCAATTTTTGAATTCCTGTTCCAGATTGGTTCCCTTATAGTGTCACCTCGTGACATTGATGATTAAAGCAAATATTCAAAGTTGCACAGTTCCAATGAATTTCACCAAGAGTTTTGAACCAATGCATGCTCAAAATTATTTCAAATATATTGCAATGTAATATCAAGAAATTTAATGAAAACATGTGTTTATTGGATTTCCTAGTAATCAATAACTTATTACCAGAATCAACTATCACTGAAAAAAAAAACTTTGATAAACTATGTTTTCAGTCCTAACAGTTTGACCTGTTTGTAACTAGTGTCTATAAGAAAAGTTACAGTCTATTCTTTGATAATTTCTTTGATTTTCAGTGTATTACCATGCAGCATTCCATGTAAGGACATCTACAGCTTGAATCATGACTATGTTAAAATAACATTTTCATC